AGGGGGGCTCAGCCAGGGCGGCCCAGGGGTAGGCGGCTGCCGGGGCCCCTGCCCGCAGCGGGGGTGAGGGCATCGCCCGCTTCCTCTCGGTTTGTATTTTTTTTTTTCCTCGGCTTTCATTAAACACCAGGTAATTCTCTAGTGCTCAGCATCACAGCTCAGCTTCCAGCCAGGTCCCGGGAGCCTCCAACCTTACCCAAAATAAAGGACCAGCAGAGAGAACCCCAGCTGCCTCCGCTGCCTCCGCATTTGGGGTGTCAGCCCACTTTGCGGGAGGGAGTATTCACCCCAATATAGGGACCCCTGCAGCCACCGCCTGCCAAGCCGCCTCCGTCAGCCCCGGCCGCTTCCTCGGCAAGAAAACATCTGGATTTGTTTGTTGTGCTTGGCGACGCAGGGCGGGCAGTGTGCCGGAGGGGCTGGGGGCTGGCCGCTGCCTACCCCCTTCCTGACTTACTTAATTACCTTAATTAGCTATTACAGCCCTTAATTGGTGTATTCCTTGCTGCGGGCTGTTCAGGATTACAAGAGAGGGTGCAGGTGGGGCTGTGGGCTCTGCAGCATAGAGGGATGCAACATCTTCCTCTTCTTCTTCCTCCTCTTCCTCTTCCTCCTCCTCCTCCTCCTCCTCCTCCTCCTCCTCCTCCTCGCCCCCCCCTTCGTGCCTAGTGGTGGTTTGTGTTTATACAAAGCCCATGCAGGGCTCATATAAAGCCCACCAACGCGATCTGGGGTTTAATTCACAGGGCCCCCCCCCCCCCCTTGCCCATCCCTACTGGCTTTAACAAACAGCCCCCGGGTGGTCCAGGACCCCCACCTGGGGCTGCCTGAGCCCCTGGGGATGAGGTCCCACCTCCCAGTCCCTCATGTTGAGCGTGGGAACGATCGCCGGCGTGGGAAAAATGAAGCTGCCCCAGCAAAAGTGACCTGGGCTGGGCTTCCCAGAGCCTGCCTGTGGCGAACGACTGGGCTCAAGCCATGCCAAAGCCTGAGTGCCCACTTCAGACATTGCAACATTTTAAAAATTTTTTTCCTGGTCCCCTCTTCCGTGGGACAGCTTCAAAAAATGTCAACTGAGAGTGGCCACGGAAAGGCCGTCACGCGGCGGGGAATCGGAGCCTCTGCACTATCTCGTGATACAGCGTGAGACAGGATGAATGTGGGGGGAGGTCAGCCCAAAAGACATCCCCAGGGATACACCAGGGCTTGGGAGATGCTCCCGCTGTGAAACCCCTCAGCTCCTGGAAAAGGAAGAGCTTTTGCCGGCTTTGAACCAGCAGAAAAAACCCCATCAGCATCCTCGGGACAGGCATGAAAAGGCCCAACTGCCTTTTGGGAGGCGGGCTCCAGTAAGGAGGTCCCAGTTTTGGGGCTGTCGGAGATGCCCCCAAGGCCACCAACCAGCACGGCTTATGGGGAGGGGCCATATCCAGATCTGCCCCTTGGGCAGCGTGAGGATGCTGGGGGGATCCCTCAGCCTCAGGAGATCCCTTAGCCTCGGGGGGGATCCCTTAGCCTCAGGGGGGATCACTCAGTCCCAGGGGATCCCTCAGTCCTGGGGGATGCCCCAGCAGAGCTGACACCAGGATGCAGGACCACGCTTGGAGCATCCTTCCCTCTGCTGCCCCGACCCAACTCAGCATCCCACAGATCCAGAAGGAGCCTGGAAATGGCAATTAATGGACTTTACTGAGCCCAGCGGCTGCCATGGCCGGGCTCTGCTCTCACCAGGGCAGGCTCTGCCCTCGCCAGTCCCAGAAGGTGCCGTTGCTGGAGGCTGAGAGCCGGGCCAGCAGCCGCAGGACACCCTGCACGCTCTCCTCCACCGTCACCGGGCCCTGCCCGACTCCAGGTCACA